GTTCCTTTCATAACTAAGACTGGTACATAGAATGATTCTTTTGACAGAAAAGGTACTTGAAAATCTACTTCCACATAACCTGAATATGGCAAATTACTACCCTCAGCACTATATACTTTCAACTCAAACTCTGCAATACTGTGAAGTTCAGGTTTATGAATCAATGAATGGTAAAACTCTTCTGACATGCAAGTAACCATAGAACCTGTATCTATTAAAGCTTCTGTCTCAACACCATTGATAATGATTCTATTTTCATTTGAATGACCCACCATTCTTGACAACAAATTTTGTTCAGGGCTCTTATTTACAGATTCCTCCCCCATTTGCCCTTTAATAGAAGAGGTTACTAGTTTGTTGAATTGTTACTCTTTTGAGGCACTTGATTGTTTGACCGAGTTCGGTTGTTCTCATTTACATTGAAATGACCTTGACCCCGAAATTGACCTCGTCCGCGAACATAGCCTCTACTAGAGTTTCCACGAAAACCGAATCCTCTTGCTCTACTTCTACCTGACCCAATAAAATTTGGACTTTGTTGGTTTGACATTTTTTCCAACTGATTAACTTTATTGCTTAATTGCTGAAAACTTTGAGAGTTACTGTCAATTTTGCTCTCTAACCTTTGCATTGTTGATGTCAATTTCTGAAATTCCTTTTGTAAATCTGTTGTTTCTGCTCTCTCAGCATGTTGGAATACTTTCTGTGTCTTTCTCACAGGAGTTGATAATTCTTCCTGGTGTACTTTTCTAATTTCCCTAAGAAGATGTTCAAAGTTTTTAATTGAATCAAATAAATGCCTAGTACTTTGTTTTAATTGTACATTGTACAAACCAGTCCAAAATTTACTTCTAAGCATAGCATCTTTTGCAACGGCATCTATATGGCCAAATTTTATAGCTTTGGATAAAGTATCCTCTAATCTAGAAGCATACACTACAAGTGATTCTCCCTCTTTTTGCATATCATTATAAAAAGATTGCATAAGAGTTTCCCCTGAAGCAACATTTCCAAAAAATCCATCAAGTTTGGTTAGAATATCTTTTAGAGAAGCATTTTCTCCAATAGAAACTAACATTGATCGGGCAAGCCCTTTTAATGAATTTCTTACAGACTGGAGCAAAATGTGCTCAGGGTATTGGCCTGAATTTTGAATACACTTGACCTCAAAATTCCATACTTCATATTTGACCTCACCTTGTTTAGGATCATCAGCACCACTAAATGTTGGTAATTTTGGAAAGTTGTATTGGGTACTGATTGTACATGTAGGGGTAGAAGGGACATCTGGTGTTTTGGGGAAGTCAAAATTTAATGGTTTACTATTTAAGAGTCTTGCCATTGGTGACATATTTGGTTTACCCAAAGGGGTACTAGTGTTGCTTTGCTTTAAACTAGCATTTACTAAAACGTCATATTCCTCTTTAGTTAACACTCTGTAGTTGGGGTCTTTCTGTACCTCAGAAATATGATGCTGTATAGAGATTGCATCAGTATCCTCACCTATTCCTGCCTTGTCTGATGGTATCTTTTGTTCTTTCTTACCTGCCTCTGCCATTTTGTAAAATAATGACAGTATCACATGTAATAGTAAATTTACAACTTGTTAGGTATAAAAGTATGATTGGGTCAATCCCTACCAATACAAACCCAACAGTGTAATACTATGTACATGAATAAATCTATGATACAGTGTATTGAGTAACAGGTACGATTTCTGTGATTGGGTCAGTCCCTGCCAACAGAAACCTGTTCCCAGATGAACAGTAATGTATCAATACCACTGCATATATTAAGACATTTAAGAACAATGTACAAAAATGTTCTCTATAAGTCTTTTTAACCACGCTCTGGCAACATTGGACCAGGATGAACTCCATCCAAATACAATTGAAAATTAAGTGAAACTCTTTGAGATTTTCCTTTATATTTTCTGTACTTCAAAATATCGAGTTTAAGTCTGGGACTATAGACAGATAATTTATTGTTTACATTCCTAATATTAAAATTTATGGAATCTATAATTTCGATCAAAACTTTGTCCTGATCAAGAAAACTATCAGGATCAATATGTCCTCTACTTTTATTCCATTCTACTATAGAATATGGAGGAATTTCCACAAATATGAGTTTGACTCTCTTAAACTCTTTGACAATTGAATGAAAACTATCTATATGGTGAACAACATTCTCCACAATAGACTGTGAGTCATCAGAAACTAAAGAAATAAACTTACCAGATTTGCTAGTGATATCACATGTCCCAAGCCAAACATACAACGTCAAATGGCCGTAGTCGTCCAAAAGAGCACGTAAATTGTAATTTAACCAAGGATAAAAATCCGTAAATCGAGCACCAGGTCTACATTCAAAATGCAAGAATAAATGATATTGTTTTAAAAGATTTAGATGTTTTTTCAGGTAGTTACCCAAACTTGTACTAACTAATACAGGCTGACTAACTAATTTCTTCTTTTCTACTGGTCTATCTAAATATTTCTGTAACTTACTATTACTCATTAAATATCAAAGCTAATTACAGTAAATTAAACTCTTAAAACAACAAATTATAAACTAAATACAAAAGTAAATTTTGGTTTAAATCTGTTGATTTCTTGTAATCTGTAATAAAGAAAATAGTAATTAATATTTCTTTGTAACTGCTACACCTTATCCTGTAATCTGAAATAACAGAACGAAGTAATGTAGATCGTGTATCAGCTAGTAGTAAGAGTGTTAGTCTAAGCTCTTTTATGACTACACTGTACAATTTAAATTTAGTCAAATATTAGCACTGTTAATTTCATAATAATGATGAATGAAATGAATGATCTAAATGATGACTGAAACCGTCACAATCTAACACGCACCTGTTCACTCGAATTTCCTCTGCTCAGAAAAATAAGAGAATGTTAATAGAGTGCAAAAAAATGTTAGCACATGCTGACATGTTAACTTGTCACTAATTTAACTGTAATGTCACTTGACTGTGTACTAAATTTAAACTGAATGAAGTTATTTTTTTACACTCTCTTACACGCACACACTTCACACACGTGTATACATGAAAATAAACATTGACAGCAATATACGATATTAAACAAATGAATTGAAAATTAACAGTCAATAAAATAAATATATAGAGAAAGTCACAGTCCCTGGAAAATGAATCCTGGATGGCACGCGAAACGTCTAGATGGGAAACGCATTCCAGCGGTGTAGGCCTATCGGTGTATATATAGTAACAGCTGTAAAAGTCACGTACGATGAATGAAGTATTGAATCATTGGTGATCAGTGTTCAGTTCTGCTCGAGCGGGTCCAATTCAATATCACAGATGAACAGATGAAGACACAGTTGAATTGAGTATTAAATAACAGCAATCAAAGGAACATTTTTAAAATGAACAAATGAAGAACTCCAACGATGATATAAATACAAATCACCCTTTAGACTTCATGAAAAAAATGAAAATTCCAGCGCAGAAAATATTAATCACGTTGGGCGCCATTGTCACAGCCTTATAATGTGGTAAAATATAACACAACACGGCTGCTGGGTTCGATGTTTATATATAATATATAATCTACGATAATGGAATTTATAACATAGAAGGAAGGGTGACCTGAAATATAACAACAGGTATTAAATATCTCTCGCCTCACTCACACTTTTACGCGGATCATAATTTAAATTTTATAAATTTGGATAATTTAGAAAATACTCGATTTGAATAAAATGATCAAAGAGATATTGAATAATAATTGAATCCTTAGAAATAATTTACCAGTTATTTCTTACCGTAAATCCTAGACAAAGTTCACAATTATCGTGAGATAAAGTTGTGTTGGGGAGAGAGAGCGTCTTCTCTCCCCAAAGTCTTAGGTTGGAGTGCTTGAGAATTAGTATTGGCGCGAATGCGCAGGGGACAGAATAAAACCAGTTTGACCACTCACACACCCGTACTCTCACTGACCACTCACCCGTATAAATGAATGAATGAATGAATAAGGCAATGAATGAACGTAGTAAATTCCGTAGTGAGAACGGAATTCACTAGTTACTATAATAATATAATGCCTTAGACAAATGTATGAGTATGATATGAATGATAATTAGTAATATTAATTAATTAATTAATTATAATTCACCCTGTGACATTTATTTTGTTGTTGTCTTGTAAACTTTCACATTTTCAGTCTTCTCCAGAACCACTTAGCCAATATCAATCAAACTTGCGAAATAGCATCCTTGGGTAAAGGGGATTCAAGTTTGTTTAAAATAAAGGGCCACACCCTCTTTAAAGGAGGGGGTAATTAAGGATAAGTGAAAATTTAATGGCATCTTTTAAAAATCTTCTCAAGAATCACTTGACCAGAAAAGATGAAAGTTTTGTGTAGGCTTCCTGGCATAGTATTGATTCAAATTTGTTCAAATCATGGCCCTCAGGACTAGGGTTGGGCCACATAAGGCAATCAGTTTAACATATATGTAGGAATATAGGGAAAAAAATCTTTAATTAATCTTCTCAAGAAAAGCAAAGCTGTGATTAATCATATTAATATGGAAGCATCCTCAGGTAGTGTATGTTCAATTTTTGTTAAAATCATGAACTCTTAGGGTAGGGTGGGGCCATAATAGGTGATCAAAGTTTACAAATAAATGTGGAGGAAAAAATCTCAAAAGCAAAGCCATGATAAGTCACATTATTAACATGGAAGAAATTTCAGGTAGTATAATTTCAGCTTTGTTCAAATTATGACCCCCCCCCAACCCCTGGAGACAGTCCTTATTGATTAAAAAAATTATGTTTACTAAAATGAAGGTACTATAAATGAGGTTTGTTAGATAATGAACAATGGAAATGCCAAACGGCACAGTGATGGGATCTGCTAACAGGCCGGGTATCAGTCATTACATCCTAAATTCTTTCACAGGGAACAAAATGACAACTATTGTGAGTAATGATTTCTGTCATGCATATGTGTCTAATTTTACAGGGACCTGGCAGGTTGTTGCTGCGATTGACTTTGGGACAGCCTACTCTGGTTTTGCGTTTTCCATGAGAGACAATCAATTTGATGTTGTAGCAGGAAAATGGAAGACTCATTCCTCAGACCTACTGGAATCTCCCAAAACTCCAACTTCTCTCTTACTTACAAGCAATAATGAATTTGTCGCATTTGGCTACGAGGCAGAGAAACAGTTCAGGGAGCTGGTGGAAGAGGACAAACACAGGGATTTCCGCTTCTTTAATCACTTCAAAATGGTGTTATTCAGAGGAAAAGTATGTGCTCTATAATTAATTTATATAACAAATACAAGTAGATTACACTGTATGTATATATTAGGGATTTCAACAAGTAATCAATATTTGATCAATCATAGATACTGTTACCGGTAATTACAGACTAAAATTCAATGCACCACTTTAGTATAGAGAGTTTTTTGAAATTTAACCTTGTATCATCATTCATACAATCAATAAAGGTTATACATCATTCAGTTCTACAGGAAGACTAATTAACTTTGTGTCAAACATTTATGAGTGCATAGGGTGGCATCTCTTGTTTATAGATAATATGAGCAAGAGAAAGGTTTGTATACTTGAGCAAAAGAAGTAGCATCTAAAAATCTTGTCTACAAAATTTTTTTCCCACTGGAAAGAAGAAGGATGTATTCATTAGCTCCACAGAATTTGTCTAACTAAAAATAAGGGTTCAACCTTTTTACAAATCCAGAAACACAATTATTAGTAAACATATGCCTTTTATTTTGTTCATTGTAAAATTGTAGATACTTGATACGACAGTAGAGGTCCTGGACCACATGAATCGTCCAATGAAGGCTCTTGATGTATTATCACTTGCAATAAAAAACCTGTATGATCAGTGTTCTGAGACTTTGAGGGAAAAAAGCATTAAGAAGGAGGATATACGCTGGGTGGTAACAGTACCTGCCATCTGGGATGAATTCGCAAAACAGTTCATGAGAAATGCAGCAGAAAAGGTGCATATTTGTAAAAGCTTTTCATCCTTTTTATGGCAAAACAAATACATTGTACCATGTTTTACATGATTTTCCATTTTAGAGTCACTGCATTTAATTTAATAGATGTACTTTGTTACTCTGTCAATAGGCTGGTATTCCTAGAAATCAGTTAACTCTTGTCCTTGAACCTGAGGCAGCAGCTATTTATATCATCAAAGGGTCTCGGACTGACCTAACCAGTAAATCCATTAACAAGTACAGCAGGGGCACACAGATTCTGCTTGTCGATCTAGGAGGTGGGATTCCTTATATTTCATATGATTTATTTACTTACTATAAGATGAAAATTATAATTGTTGAAGATTCTATTTTATAGGTGGTACAGCAGATTTCTCTTTGATTGGTATCAGTGGGGATAGGAAACTTGAGGTGCTACACAAAGCCAGTGGAGGGGCCTTAGGGGGAAACACGATCAACACCAAAGTCTGGGAAATTCTAGAAAATCTTCTTGGGAAAAATGTCATTGATGAATTCAAAAAACAAACATCAGACTGTATGGAAATGGAAAGTAACATAGAATTAAAAAAGAGAGACCTCTCTTCTGAAAGTAAATTACAGTTAACGATGTTTCCTTCTCTTTCTGAGACATGCAAAAACTTGACAGGGAAAACCTATAAAGACCTTGTAGGGGAATCCCAATATGCAAACCTCGTAAAAGTTCGCACTGGGAAAATTATATTTGAGCATGAATTGATTGACCAAATGTTTGAACTTACATTGGCAGAATCTTTTTATATAATGGATAAACTTTTAAAGAATGGTAGCAATGTTCAGGACATAGTGCTTGTAGGGGGATTTTCTGATTCAGAAATTATCCAAAAGCAATTTAAGGAACGGTTCAGTGACTATGAGGTGATAATTCCTGCTGATGCAGGACTAGCAGTGCTGAAAGGAGCTGTTATTTTTGGGCATAATGAAAACCTCATCAAATCTAGAATTTGTCCCTTCACATATGGAATTGAAGTCCTGCGGTTTTGGTTGGCCTCTGATCCAGAAAGTAGCAAAAAAATAATAAATGGAACATCTTATTGTACTGGAATTTTTGATGAACTTGTCACTATTGGAGATACTGTGGAAGTTGGAAAAACAGTTGAAAGAGAATTCTTTGCTCCTAGTAACATAGCCAAAAATTTACAGTTAAAATTTTATCGAACTGATAAGCGAGATGTACAGAGTGTTACAGATGAAGGCTGTGAGTGTATTGGTATAGTAAAAATTAATTTATCAGGCCCACTGGATGGAACTGAACATGCTGTGCGTTTGTCCTTTAAATTTGGTGAGGCAGAAATCACTGTGTGTGGATTTGACAAAATGACTGGGCAGCTAATAAATACTGAGGTTGATTTTCTTGGAAAGAGTCATTCAGCTTCATAGTAATCCATCAACTAGACATTTATCTACAGACGTATACAAGAAGAATTCTGATATTTTTATACACGATTAAACTTTTTAACATATTATTAATGATATCATTATCTATTTTATTGTTTTATTTGTAATTCACAAATCTAAAGAAGCAAGATTAAATACAAATGCCATAATATATATGATCGTTCATTTACAGTTAAGGACATTTTTCCTTTTGATTTTCTCACCTGATAAAAGATGGCATGTACATGTATATACATGTATATGTACAAATGTACAACTTAAATAAGTTGAATTGTATTTCTAATATTTAAGAACCTTAGTTTGAATGTGAAGCACATTATGTTCAAATGTTACCACACCTTTATTAGGTCACCTGAGTCACTCAGGTGACCTATTGCTATCCGTTTTTGTCCGTCGTCGTGCGTCATCTGTTATGCATTAACATTTAAACATTTTCAGCTTCTTCTCTGAAACCGCTCAACCAATTTCAACCAATTTTGGCATATAGCATCTATGGGTGAAAGGGGACAAAAATTGTGAATTTCATGGTCCCTGCCCCCCCTGGGATCTGAGGGGTGGGGCTTAAACCACCAAAATTAATGCAATCTTTAAAAATCTTCTTCTTTACTCCTGGACATCAAGCAGTCAAACTGTTGGCATGATTGTAATAAGCATTGAGCCCTCTACCAAAATTGTGAAATTCATGGCCCCAGGGTTTAGGGGTTCTGGTGCTAGGGTGGGGCTATATAGATCATTTAGTGAAAGTGCATTATTTCTTTGAAAATCTTCTTCTCTGCTCCTGGGTATTAGATAAACTAAGTACATAGTTAAGTTGAGCAAGACTGCCTCTTCTAAAATTGTGAATTTCATGGCCTCTGGGTCAGGGGTTCTGGTGTTAGGACAGGGCTCTATTGATTATATAGTGAAAATGCATTAATTCTTTGAAAGTCTTCTTCTCTGCTCCTGGGTATTAAATAAATTAACTAAGTACATTGTTATGATGAGCAAGAGTGCCTCTTACAAAATTGTGAATTTCATGGCCCCAGGGTCAGGGGTTCAGGTGTTAGGGCTGGGCTCTATTGATTATATAGTGAAAATGCATTAAATCTTTGAAAATCTTCTCCTCTGCTCCTGGGTATGAAATAAACTAAGTAAGTACATAATTATAATGAGCATAGCTGCCTCTTCCAAAATTGTGAATTTCATGGCCCCCTGGGTCAGAGGTACTGGTGTTAAGGTGGGGCTCTATTGATTATAGAGTGAAAATGCATTATATCTTTGAAAATCTTCTCTGCTCGTGGGTATTAAATAAATTAACTAAGTACATTGTTATGATGAGCATAGCTGCCTCTTCCAAAATTTTGAATTTCATGGCCCCTGGGTCATGGGTTCTGGCGTTAGGGCGGGGCTCTTTTGCTCCTCTGCTCCTGGGTATGAAATAAACAAGTAAGTACATACATTTGTTGTTATAATGAGCAATGCTGTCTCTTCCAAAATTGTGAATTTCATGGCCCCTGGGTCAGGGGTTCTGGTGTTAGGGTGGGGCTCTATTTATTATATAGTGAAAATGCATTATATCTTTGAAAATCTTCTCTGCTCATGGGTATTAAATAAATTAACTAAGTACATGCATGTAGTTATGATGAGCATAGCTGCCTCTTCCAAAATTGTGAATTTCATGGCCCCTGGGTCAGGGGTTCTGGTGTTACAGCGGGGCTCTATTGTTTATATAGTGAAAATGCATTAAATCTTTGAAAATCTTCTTCTCTGCTCCTGGGTATGAAATAAACTAAGTAAGTACATTGTTATGATGAGCATGGCTGCCTCTTCCAAAATTGTGAATTTCATGGCCCCTGGGTCAGGGGTTTTGTTTAGGGGGGGACTCTATTGATTATATAGTGAAAATTCAAAATTTCTTTCAAATTATTTTTTTTCTACTCCTGGTTATAAAGCAAAGAAACAAGTGACTGTATAGTTATGATGAACAAGAATGCTTTTACAAAATTTTTAAAACTTGTGGTCCCAGGGGTTCTTTTGTTTCTCTGAGGGGGGGGGGGGGCTCTATTGATAATATAGTGAAAATGTGTGAATTCTTTGAAAATCTTCAACAAATTGCATAGTTATGATGATGAGGGTACCTCTTCCAAATTTGTAAATTTTCATGACCCAAGGTCATGGGTTCTGGTGTTAGGGTAGGGCTGTGTTAAACAGTGAAAATGCATTATTTCTTCAAAAATCTCCTCTGCTCGTGGGCATATTGGAAGAAAACAGAGTAAAAGTTTTAATAAGCAAGGGTATTTTTACCAGAATTTTGAACATCTGGACCATTTAGTCAAGTGTTCTGGTCCTGGCCAGGGCTCTATTAATTTGTATTCTATTGAGTGAAGTTATTCCTCTTTGCCATTCACTTTAGATAATCAATCACTGTAGATAATGTATTTGAAAGGTTAATAGAGTAAGTGAATTATGCAAGAATATTTATTTTATAATACAAGAAGTACTTTCATAGTTTTAAAAATCAGATAGACTTGGAAATTATAAATAGATGAATAAAAATGAAACAAAAATAACTTATCTGAAATGTTCTTCAAAGGCCAAGTGAGGCTAATGTGAGAGGTAAATAATATAGACATATTGTTAAAATTGGTAATAGTGATAAATGGGGGACAGATAGAAAGATACTAGACCAATTATTTTGTTGATCTTAATCATACTATTTTTCTTGCTATTGGGCAACAAAGCTTCATTTATCAGTTTATCGATCCTCAAAATTGTTGTACTCAGGTGACCGTTAAGGCCCTTGGGCCTCTTGTTTTGAGTGTTATTGTCCCTGTCAAATTATTTGTCTCAAACTCAGGATTTCTAAAATTTTCACATAAAAAATGGTGTAAGATGCTTTTAATGTTTAAATTTTCTAACTCCATAAAACTGGTCAGAAAATTTTGAATTTGTGCTGAAAAACAATTTTTTTCCCATATCAGTGGGTCTTACCTCTATTTTATTGAAAGCATATCTTCAAATATTGGTAGAAGTGCAGAATAAACAGAGAGCAATATGGCCCATATCAAAGTACACTATATTCAGTTTCAAAAAGGCTTGCATGTTTTTCAGCTGAAAATTCTTATATCAGGTCATAAAAGGACAAGGTATGGTAGAGGCTTTATTTGCCCCCCCCCCCCCATTTTTTAATCTAAAAATCAAAACTTAGTTAAAAATTGTGATAGTTTGAAATAAAAAAAAATGGTGCTTGTTTTAAAACCGGCATGAATTTTGATTCAAATCATACACTTTGACCACAAGATGGTGACAAAGTAGAACATTTTAGTAAGTTTCCTCAATTCTAACTGAATTCTATAAAAAAAAAAAAGAGATATTTTATATTTGGCATAAAATTTTACCTATTAATGATGAAAACACTACTCTTAATACCAAGTTCACATTTATACAACTGATTTGTTACATTAGTAGGCAATAAGCATAATCTACGCCTAATTTGCGATGTTCTTTGTTAACTTGTGTCAATTTTCAGCATCTAGTTACTCGTATGAAACTTGACAGGCACAAAAAAAAAAATTAGCTGCAAAGCATATACCCCAACTGGCATGAGCCAAAAGCGAGTTATTATTGTTCGAATGGTTAGTTTATTGATTTAAGAAGGGATTCTTGTCTGGTTTCTGACTAGATGAAATATTCAAAGTATATTTGCTTATATGTTTTATATACATGTATTTAGATGTAAGAGATTGAAAAGATCATATTTTTGTTTTCTAATCACAATTGTACAACTTTAAATAGAAATGGTAAACTGAGTTTGAAATCTAGCAGGGACTATATTTTTGGCGGAATGGCGGCGTATGAAAATATCTTCTTTTCTGCCTCTCAAAATTATTATAGAACAATGAATTTAGGTTAAAAATTTTTACACAATCAAAGACTTGAAGAAATTTTTAGATGTAAGTTAAATTAATAATAAGGGACTAAAGTTTTAAAATATATCAAAATGAATATGATTTTCCAAACAAACTACAGCTATGTTAGCTTTTAAAAGCTTCCAATCTTAAGTACAGATTTGAGCCAAAAATCCGTAAAAAGTTTTTTTTTTCTCTCTTAGTAAACGATCAAAACTTTTTGTTTTTATATCATTTTGTATATTTATGTGACAACTTTACCATGTGAAAATAAGAAAAATCTAAATATAGGAAGCGTATAAAAATAACTAAAATATCCAAAAAATTTAAGAAAAATGGAGAAAATTCGAATTAGCCAATATCCATTTTAGTTAAATTATTTATGTCTCATCTTATAGACACTACATAGTAAAATCTTTTTATGCAAAAAGAAAAACATTTTATCTTTCGAAGTAGAAGTAGGCATCGCATGATTGGCAACAGTAATTTTTTATTCTTAATGTCCAGGGAAAAGGTAATGACCTTGACCTGACCTTGCCTCTAATATAAAACGGTTATATTTAATCTAACTGATACTATCACTTAGTGATATTGTCTTCTTGATTCTGTGAAAATTTCATTGATTTTTAAATACTAGAAATATGAGAAGAATCCCTCCTTGATAGTGCTGAAAAATGAATTATCAATTACATAAAGCATTGCCATTGTGTAACCTTAAATTCTCGAGCATTTGTGATAAGAAAAAATGGTCAAATGCCTGTGCTTTTATTTGATTCATTTTTCTTCTGGGACTGGATATAAAACGTACAATCCCTCTCCTGGCATTATAAATTTACAATTTACAGATAAAGGTGTTTAAAAATAATGGAAACAAAATAGGCGTTCACGTTAATTCTTGAAAGTTCAGCACACACTTCTTGGAGCTGCTTTTTTTTTACCCTCCTAATTGGTGTTACATAAGTTGTGTTCTAAAATATTTAAACATTTTCCAAACACGCAACGGATCATGACACGCATTTATGTCTTTCATCATATCCATATACTGGTACTTTAATCTGTTAATTAACTTTGTAACATGATTTCGACATCACATTGTCGGTAATAGTGATTCAAAATAGCAAAACACGTGGATATATGCCATGAACATCAACTTAGTTTGACTTCATTCCAAACAAGTACTTGACATTGTATTCCAAAGTTACGGGTTTTCAGCATTTTACAGAGCAATGTTTTCAGTTATAAATAGGTTGAAATACACCTTTAAAATGGACAACTGTATTAAAGGTTTCTTGTCCTTTGAGGTATGACTAAAGAGCTATTCATATAGGTAATGAACATCAACTTCTTCAATGAAAAAGGCGGAGATAACGAAAAGTGACCGATCTAAAAAAAAAAAATCTATAAACAACAGGGATAAAACATGGACCCCTGGAAATTCCAGAGGTGGGATCAGGTGCCCAGAAGGAGTAAGCATCCCCTGTTGACCGTGAGCCCCTTGTATTGATCGGGTAAATGGAATATTCCATAGCCAAATTTAGTGTGAAAACAATTGATATGAAACGTGTCCGACAAAATACTACCCAATGCTATGTTATGTTTGTTTACAAAATCATAATTCCTGCCATAGAATTTACGAAATGCTGACTTTAAAGGAGGTTGTCGAAATCCCTGTATCATCAACTTATCTTTCAGTAGCCTGTCTCGGTTTTAAAACTGATTATAAATCTGAACATGCGTTTGGGTTTCGAATAAACAGCCTATGTAGGTGGTAGCGGAATTTTACTACATGTAAACTAATAAGGAAAGTTGACGATGGAAAAGCTGAAGTCACCTCCACGGACACAATTGTCTGGACACACTTATCACATGGTGACTAACCTTTTAGACAAAACTTGAAATCAAGGTAATCACACACGTGTAGGTCATGGCCAATGACGGATTGGGTTTAGTTATGTCGACCTGGGCACATAATGACAGGAAGTGTAGATAGACAAATCCATGTATGCATATTATTTCTAGCAGTTCTTGCAAAGGAACTTGCATAAATTTAAGAAAATAAAACCCAATAGATTGGTCGTGAACTTGATTGTAATTGAAAGGAAAAACGTTTAATATTTCATGTCGTATTATTAATTAAACGCCTATTTAGTTAATTGAATTAAACGCTTATTTAGTTAATTTAACTTGACATGGTTTATATGCAGTTTACGAACTGCATATATTATTTTGTAAAATATCAAGAATGTATTTTCTTAAATAAGAAAATGATTTTTTCATGATCTACAATATGTATATATTTTTTTTTATTAACATTCTTGCTATGATCAGTAGTAAAGGAATGGCACGGATCAGCCCTTCATTTCACTATCTTTATTGATGCAAGCATGCCTGCATGTGTGGGAGAATATGTTTAAACTTGCTTAAGTATCAAGTTTAAATGTCTTAATTCCAGTAAACTTAACCAGATGATCGATTTGGTAGTAGGTATTTTTAAACGCGTTTCGGAACTTCCCTTCGTGGAAAGTTTCATCCACTTTTGATTTAATTCTCGTCAGCTTTTCACACCTACAGGAAGACTGACAAGGTAATTTGGAAACGTTTATTATCTGTCTTGTCTGGATTTTATTTCCTTTTCAATTTTTTAAAAACGAAAGTACTTTTTTGACGTTCAACTAACATATTCCAACCATTTTTTCATCTAGAAGAAGATATTTTGTGTTTGGACTCAGGTGAATGGCAGGTAAATTTTTAACACTGACTATTTGTTCTGAAATGTCTATCCTCGGAAAAACAAATATAAGTTTTAGCAATTTTCATGCAATATCTGAAACTGCACTCTGCACCCAGTTAGTCAATGCTATTCAAGTACATGTATTATGTGCCTTCGAAATATTTTCATATGAAGTACAATCAGTTTTATTACTACTGCCTTTGAATCTGTGGATACAATCTCATACAGGTTGTAAAGATTATCAAAGTTGTTTTGAAACCTCTGAATGCTAAGACTTTAATGTAACAGAAGTACAAAAAGGAGATTGGTGAACAAGGCGTGCAGAATGCCTATAGCTTCAGATATATATATATATAAAAATACTTAGTATCATTTTCCTTTGAGACTAACACGCTAAAAACTACGTTACACAACTCTTGATGAAGAATAGCATTTGAATCATGTTTGTGATATGACCCTTGACTAAATGGACTTAAAATATTTCTCGGAAAGATGCGAATGTTGTGTCATAATAGTGTATTTTAAAGTATAGTGGGTCTTTGTTCCATGTGTTTTTTTTTTTCAACTAAAAAATGTATATCTTTACGCAAACTTTGAGGATAAGCTTTCAAATAATTAAGCGAAGACCCACTCATATCGAAAAAGCGAGTTATAGTATCAGAAAATGGTTGTTTTTGCCCTCTTTGGTGTGTGTATGCTATTTCATAGGTAAATGATTTCAATCTTTGTGAGATTTTTTTTCTAATTGTGGAGATTTTATATGAAGTATGCTTTAATGTTAGATGAAATATCAAAGAAAATTTTGTTATAATTGAGATTTAATTTTTCACCTTCATTTTTGTCGCACTATAGGCACTTCACTCGACTTGTTCGCCCATCTTCTTAATACAGTAAAATCACTTATTTTCGTGGGATTTATATATTCGTTATTTGAGGAAAAATGACTGGTTGGAGGGGATTTGATTTCGTTTAACATTACTTGGGGGGGGGGGGGTCGTGGGTATCTTCATATCACAAAAACAAGGAAAACTAAAACCTTACGATATTTAAAGTGATTTCACAGTAACAACACTGCACGTGTATTTTAATCCTCTGATAGAAACCTGTGGCTTTTCTAACTGCTAAAAAAAATAATCATTGGAAAAGAGTTGATGCATTTAACAAAATATCATTGGATCAGATTTTTGAATTCAGTGCTTAAGATTTCGTTTTATTTCAAACTCCTCTAGTTTATATAATAAAATGGCACGGAGAATAACCAGATCAGCATCGTCTGGAAATCTGTTAGAAGCAGACGACGGGACCTCAAAAGCGCCACCTCTTGACGAGGATGATGACCTGAAAAGTAGTTTTCTACCCGGCTTACTTGGAAAAAGGAAGTGAGTACTCATATGTACAAAAGATTCTACCTTGTATTTTTATTTTATTTTATTTTTTTTTTGTCACTGTAATGTTTTTTTTTTTTCGGAAAAAAGAATTAGGAAAGCTTAAATTACATGTTTTTCAATTTACTAGTGTGATATATATATAGTCATTCATTGACAGTCTAAAGACTTTTTTTTACCTCCACGGCGTCCAACTCTATATTAAAACTTGTCTGAAAATCCAAGTATGATAGAGATATTTTACATTAATTATGAATGTAGGACCTGATACTTTTTTTTTCCCCAGGCAAATTAAATAAAGCACCAAAGGCCTTTAAAAAAGTATGCATGCATTGATGAAAAGCATAGGTCACATCCTCATGAATTTTAAAAACAGAGATAAACTACTTATATTTACATTTTTTAACTATTCCTTTATTTCATTCAAAAAGATATTGACAAAGTTTTTTAGGGATTATTTCCTTATTTTAGTTTAAGGCAGTTTAATATATGACTAAAATATTATTTTTCATAGGTTATGTTGATGAGGATGTGAACATGGTATTTCTTTTAAAGAAATTTGAAAGACAAATCACGTTATGTAAAAGAAATTGAAAAAAAACCATTATTATTTAAAATTTTGTGCCATATTTGATGTTTTCAACCAAATATAGCAACATGGGCTGTGTGACTAGGCTTCTTTTCAAACTGCGCTCTGTGTCCAAAGAAGGACAAGGACAGCAAGATAGATTCTATATCTCAAACTGTTTTCAGTAGAAATCTTTTCTGAAATCATTTCGATAAAAATGCACCTAAATTCATTCTCGCATTTAAAAATTTTTGCAGTGTTTTTATGCCATCTTTATGACAGGGTTTTTTATTACACACTGCCATTAAGTGATATCACCTATTCCAAAAAGTGATATCACTTAATATTCAAATTAAATAAGTGATATCAACAATATGAAAATGATATGATTATTACATATCCCAAGTAGTGATATCACCTATTCGAAATAAATAGGTGATATCACCTATTCGAACTGAGTATATGATAAAATTTATTTGAATTGGTGACAAATGTATCACCTATTCATTTTGAATTGGTGTTATCACTTATTCGCATTAGTGGTATCACCTATTTGCATTTAATTCTTTCAACATTAAATAATGAAATGTTTCTTCTTAAGACAATATAGCCTCAATGCAAAGTAAAGGATGAAATTTTAAATCGCTTCCCAAGAACAATTTTATGTTTAAGCATTTTTCAAAAAGGAAGATTCTGATTTCGCTACTCTTTGACAATTAAAAAAAAATGATGATAAAAGATTCCCAGGCCTTTTTGAACTTAATTTGAGCCACATTTGGCATTGATTGATCAAATAAGCTGAAGATCCGCTGTAAAAACTCTCGTTTTTGGCATAAAGAGGAGGGAGGATCCTGATCGTATGTTATATGCATACAAAAAAGGGTCCGTGTAACAACCAAGTTTTACATATAAAAACTTGATTTCGATTGACCCTAAGATAATTCGGGCTGCCCTTTCCCCCCTGTGTTATAGCTTGAGACCATATGAAAGCGGTTTCTGTGAAGTTATATATCTATATATTAATTATAGTCAGTTTTGTTATGCTTATTGAAATTTTCTCTTTATTTTTTATGTATGAAGATTCTTATGTATAAATATGTCAACATCCTGTATCATCTTATTGAGTAAATGAATGTAGTACATGTATAGTCTTGCGAGGAGTTGTTATTTCACACTTAGAGTAGGTGATATCACCCATTCGAATAAATTATGTAACCTATTCAAAATGAAAAGGTGCTATCACCTATTCGAATAGGTGAGATAACCTATTCGAAACCTAATAGGTGATATCAATATTTGGAATTGGTTATTATGTAACACCTTCTGCACAGTAATTTATTTTCAGAGTTTAATTTTCATTGTTTTCGTTGTATAAAGGGACCCACGAATTAACGGAAGCCGGTAGGTGCCATGTAGAAAAATATTTTATCTGGCGGCCGCCACATAAATAACTGGCGGTCGCCAAATGATTTTCTGGTGGCCGCCAGAAAATTATTTGGCGACCGCCTTATAATTTCTGGCGGCCACCAGATCTCTTTATCTGGCGGCCGCCAGATAAAATATTTTTTCTACCTGGCACCTACCGGCTTCCGTACGAATTAAAATCCCCCACAAAATGTTAAATTTTCTTACTGCAAAAACAGTTCTTCTCCTTAAATAACGAAATAAATCCCCTTGAACCAGTAATTTCCCCCTAACCACGAAAATTTGACCCCACACGAAAATAACTGATTTTTATTGTATCAACAGTTCGAATACTTGATATCACCTTTTCGAATAGGTGATATCACTAATTCTTATACCAACTATCGAATAGATGATATCAATTATCAATTGATGTCATCCTTATGAATAATGGCAGTAAATACCAAGCCGGCTTCTCATACATCTTATTGAAAATTACCCTCATTAACTTAAGAAATATATACTCAGATGAGTGGGTATCTAGTTTATTTGACAGAAAACGCCTTCCATCTGCAAAGCCAAAGGAATGCCAAGCACGGTTTGGACGAGTGAAAGTCACTTTGAAGAAAGGGCTAGTTTATGAAGAGGAGGTTGACGCCATTGTTAACAGCACTTCGCAAACGTTAACGCTGGACGCGGGAAACGCCTCGCGGGCAATGTTACAAAAAGCTGGACGCTCTATTCAAGAGGAGTGCAAGAGGAAATATCCAGACGGAATTAAGTTTGGAGAACTGGCAGAAACTGGGGGCGGAGACTTGTATTGTGGATATGTATTCCATGGATGTCTGAAGTATTGGAGAGCAGAAGAAAGCAATTCTGTAGAACAAGTAGGTATATACCAAACAATACCAGAATATGACATTTAGGATGTCAGATGCATCCAATGGTTTTGCTAGTAAGTTTATATTGTTTTTAACTTCAGACCCTTACAGATCTTGTAACCAAGTGTCTTGAGAGGGGAGATCACTTACAGATTAATTCAATCGCCTTTCCTGCACTGGGCACAGGTTTTCTACAGTTTCCTGCTAAAATTGTTGTTTGTCGACTGCTTCAATGTGTAAAAGACTTTGAAATGAGGCATAAATCAACAAATGTTACAGATATACGCTTCGTAATATTTCCTAAGGATACAAAAACATTTGAAGAATTCGAAAATGAATTTAATCGTTATTCATATTCCATATACCAAAAGCCAACTTCACAAGGTATTTGATTTTTACATTTAAGGTTACATGTACATGTAGTCTAAAATGTTGAATGTCCATATCTTTCTTTCAATATCTGTTTTTTTTTTTTTTTCATCATTAGAAAAGGAAAATCATGATAATTATGTGTGAATTTCTATAGGAATTTTACCTACCAAACCAAAAGATATTGAATGTTCTCTTGAAAATCTGACAGTGAAGCTTGTAGCTGGATGTCTAGTGGAACAGAAGGTATTTTGCCCTTATAGGAAATAGAAATCCACCCATAGTTTGTTTTACACTTACGCAGATTATTTTCACTAATTCTTTACTCTTAGGTTGATGTCATTGTTGGCGCAGTACCTCCATTTGGAAAGCCTGGGTCGACAAGCTCGTCTAAAGCGATCTTAAAGGCTGGTGGTTCAGGTATAGAAAGGGAATTCACCAGAGCGTTCCCGGTGGGGATAGACATAGGCGACGTAGTATCCAGTGGAAGTCATAAAATTCAAAACGTTAAAAAAATTTACTTTGGGGCCCTGCCAACGTATGCTGTTAAAGAGCGCGATCAAAACCAGCAGGTTAAGTACTAAATGGCTTGCTCCAGTTCGACTCTGCTCTTTTCAATCAACTTGCAGTCAGTCCTAAATCTCCTGTGCCGATCTTAGATATTGTAAAACAAAACATATATCTTATTTACAGGCACTGGTACTAGTGGTTCAAGTTTCTCTAATGAAACTACAAGAAGATGGTCTTAAAACAATTGCAATTCCAACACTTGGTGTTGGAGACTTTAAATTTTCTCCGACGATATCAGCCATGAAAATCTTTTCTTCTATTAAAGAATACAGCACAACCAATAAGGACTCAAAAATAGATACCGTTTATGTAGTAGTGGACATAGCAGATTCAGAGTTTGTAAACATATGGAAGGTATGTTGACAAATCTCAAAGGGTTTGAAACTTTTCAATTAAAATATTTTTTCCCTCGCATTCCATTACATCAAATATTCAATTACCAAGAATAGAATAACGATACAGTTGTAGAAACACGTATTGATGTACAAAATAATCTATTCCTTTTGTATGTGCAGGCATTTGGCAGAGAAATAATTAAGATAGCTCCTCCGAAGATGAAAAATAAGGTCCCAATAATAATAGAACCCAAACCAAAACCTCCACCAGTACGGGGGTCACGTGACTGGTTCTCCATGATGTACGAGGAGGAGCTGTGTGTCCCGTCCTATTGGACTGATTTTAAAGGAGGTGAGAAGATCAAAGTCTGTAAACGACGGAACAGACGACATCCGTACAGTCTTGTGACTGTTGATCAGACTACAATGGATCTGGTTGTTAAAATTGTAGAAAAAACATGGGAATCTCACAATGTAGGAAAGGGAGCGGATGCAAAGGGCTTAGATATGCTTTTCTATAACAATATTCGGGTTACCAAAGTAGAACGTGTGGAAAATCTGGACTTATATGAAAGTTATGTCCAGGAAAGACAAAGGTTTTTTGACAAAGCAAGATCAAGAGGCAGTCCATTTCCTTTAGGAACTCTTCCAAAATCATCCGGCGAAATCAAAACTACCTCTATTCTAAAATCTGACAAAACTAGCACTGCTTATCTTTCAGACATTTATCCAGAAATTAATGAGCATTACGTTTTTCATGGGACATTAGCAGATACATTAGATTCTGTTCTGACGCAAGGATTAGATTGTAGAATGTCAAGAGGTACTGCTATGTTTGGACAGGGGGCGTACGGCGCCGAGAGTTCAACAAAAGCTGATCAATACGTAGGTGCGTATCTTTTGTCCTACTATCATTCCAGGTAGAAAATGATCAGCTTATTATTTTGTTTTGTCATTCGTTTTTAGCTCACCTGAGCTGAAAGCTCAAGTGAGCTTTTCTGATCAACCGTTGTCCGTCCGACTGTAATCCAGAACCACCTGGCCAATTTAAACCAAAGTTGGCACAAAATATTTTTGGGTAAAGTGGATTCTAAATTGTTCAAATGAAGGGCTAAGCCCGCTTCCAAGGGGGAGATAATCAAGAAAAAGTAAAAATAGGATGGGATCAATAAAAAATCTTCCTCTCAAGTACCACCTGGCGAGAAAAGATGAAACTTATGTGAAACCTTTCTGAGGAAGTGTAGATTTTGAATTGTTCAAATCACGACCCCCGGGGTATAGTGGGGCCACAACAGGGATGAAAGTTTTACATTAAAAATGTTTAAAAAAAATTCTTCTCAAGAACCACTAGGCCAGAAAGCTGAAACTTATTTAGAAGCTTCTTCAGGAGATGAAATAATTAAGAAAAATATTTAAAAATCTTCTCAAGAACCACTGGATAAGAAAAGATGAACATAAATGAAGGCTTCCTAAGAAAGTTTGGACTCTAAATTAATCAAATCATGATTCGAGGGATAAGATGGGGCCAAAATAAGAGATCAAAGTTAAACATAGAAATATATATATATATATATATATATATATATATATATATATATATATATATATATATATATATATATATATATATATATATATATATATATATATATATATTAGGGATGGCAATTTGTAACCGGTTAACCGATTACTCGGTCGGAACGATGGCAATCGATTTGAAAATCTGTAATCGGTTAATCGGAAAAAAATTAAATATTTGCTAAAATTGAACACATTTTTAAAAAAAATTATTTTAAAAAATAGAAATCTCTGCAGAAAGGATGACCATTTAGGATTTAACGGATCTAATTTGGACGTACATGTAATTATGAATCTCCAGATTGAGACCGTAGCGTAATTGGTTAGTTTATGTAGTGTTAATTACTGTGAAAACACCATGTCGTTACCCCGACTGTCCTGTAATTCTTTCATAATAATAATTGAATCATTGAGCACTGAATTGGCGTGTTTGTCGTTTTCAGTTTTCAATTCAATTTAATCATTAAACAAACATTGTAAATTAAGGGCTATAGAGTTCATATATAATTTTGATTATTATAGTGAAAATGCAGAAAGACATTCTGTGACATCTGCTCTGGAAAATTATCAAAGATTCCTTAGGCTTTTTTCATGGTTTTCTTAATTTTTTTCTTGTCTACTGAAACTTAAAAAATATGTACCCGTAGTTTTCTGATCCCAGAATCAAGACTAATGGAATATATTTTAACTTCTATCGTCTTATTTGGGTCAATTTGTGTATATGGACAGAGCTACTGTACTTAAAAAGCAAGAAAACGTGCATTTTGATACGATTAACCGGTTAATCGGTCGGAACGTCTTGCGGTTAACCGATTAGCAATTCTGTAATCGATTGCCATCCCTAATATATATATATATATATAGATATATAAGAAAATCTTTAAAAATCTTCTTAAGAACAGCAAGGCATGATTAGATTTATTTATAAGGAAACATTCGCAGGTAGTGTAGATTCAAATTTGTTAAAATCATGACTCCAGTGGTAGGGCGGGGCCACAAAATGTGATCAAATATTTACATACGAATGAACAACAGGGGCATAGTAACTAAGGTGAGCGTTGAGGCCCATTGGCTTCTTATTTGTGAACGCAACTTCTCTTTTTAGCTCACCTGAGCTGAAAGCTCAAGTGAGCTTTTCTCATCGACCGTTGTCCGTCGTCCGTCCGTCCGTCCGTCTGTCCGTCCGTCCGTCCGTCTGTAAACTTTTCACATTTTGAACTTCTTCTCAAGAACCACTGGGCCAATTTTAACCAAACTTGGTACAAAGTATCCTTGGGTGAAGGGGAGTTTAAATTGTTAAAATAAAGGGCCAAGTCCCCTTACAAGGGGAGATAATTAAGAAAAGACAAAAATAGGGTGGGGTCATTAAAAAATCTTCTTCTCAAGAACCACTGGGCCAAAAAAGCTGAAACTTATGTGGAAGCATCCTGGGATAGTGTAGATTCTAAAATATTAAAATCATGACCCCTGGGGGTAGGGTGGGGCCACAATAGGGAATCCAAGTTTTACATTGAAATATATAAGAAAAATCTTTAAAAATCTTGTTCTCAAGAACAACTGGGCAAGAAAAACTGAAACTTATGTGGAAGCATCCTGAGGTAGTGTAGATGCTAAATTATAAAAATCATGACCCCCGGGGATAGGGCGGGGCCACAATAGGGAATCCGAGTTTTTACATTGAAATATGCAAGAAAAATCTTTAAAAATCTTCTTCTCAAGAACAACTGGGCCAGAAAAACTGAAACTTATGTGGAAGCATCCTAGGATAGTGTAGATTTTAAATTGTTAAAACCATGACCCCCGGGGTAGGGCGGGGCCACAATAAGTATTACAAGGGGGAAATCTGGTAAAGAACAGCATGGCCAAAGTTACTCAGATGAGTGATGTGGCCCATGGGCCTCTTGTTTTAAAAATCTTCTTCCCAAGAACCACTAGGCCAGAAAAGCTGATACTTATGTGGAAGCATCCTGAGGTAGAGTAGATTCTAAATTGTTAAAATCATGACCCCCGGGGGTAGGGCGGGGCCACAATAGGGAATCCAAGTTTTACTTTGAAATATGTAGAAATTTTTTTTAAAAAATCTTCTCAAGAACCACTAGGCCAGAAAAGCTGATACTTTTATGGAAGTATCCTGAGGTAGTGTAGATTCTCAATTGTTAAAATCATGACCCCCGGGGGTAGGGCGGGGCCACAATAGGGAATCCAAGTTTTACTTTGAAATATGTAGTAAAAAATCTTAAAAAATCTTCTTCTCAAGAACCACTAGGCCAGAAAAGCTAAAACTTATGTGGAAGCATCCTGGGGCAGTGTAGATTCTCAATTGTTAAAATCATGGCCCCGGGTTAGGGCGGGGCCACAATAGAGAATCCAAGTTTTAAATTGTAATATGTAGTAAAAAATCTTTAAAATCTTCTTCTCAAGAACCACTGGGCCAGAAAAGCTGAAACTTAAGTGGAAGCATGCTGGGGTAGTGTAGACTTTTAATTCCTCAAATCATGACCCCCGGGGTTAGGGCGGGGCCACAGTAAGGAATCCAAGTTTTCCATTGAAATATACAGTAAAAATCTTCTTTTCAAGAACCGCTGGGTCAGAAAAGCTGAAACTTAAGTGGAAGCATGCTAGAGTAGTGTAGATTCTACATTGTTAAAATCATGACCCCGGGGGGAGGGGCACAATAGGGAATCCAAATTTTACATTGAAATATGTAGTAAAAATCTTCTCCTGAAGAACCACTGGGCCAGAAAAGATGAAAGTTATGTGGAATCATCCTGGAGAAGTGTAGATTCTAAATTGTTCAAATCATGACCCCTGGGGTTAGGGCGGGGCTACAATAAGTATTACAAGGGGGGAAATCAGGTGAAAACAAGGTGAAAGTTACTCAGGTGAGCGCAGTGACCCATGGGCCTCTTGTTTGTTATTGCAGGATAAACATTGTTTGAAATAGACCATTGATGAATTAATATGTAATTTTGATATTTTTGTGTAGACAGGAAAGAAAACAGAAAGAAAATTCCACATCAGATGCTGCTAGTGCGCATGTGTTTGGGAGATATATGCCTGTATGACTTTCCTGTAGCGCACAGACGAGCACCTTGCAAGAAATGTAGAAGAGACAACTGCACTACTCACAAACCTAAAGACTTTTATGATTCTGTTGTCGGAGACGGGAAGTGGTTGTTCCGGGAATTCATTGTCTTTGATAAGCGTCAGACATACCCGGAGTATCTCATCACCTATGAACGTGTATAAAATTTTACCATACTATTTTATTTTTACATCCAGAAATGTGTTTACAATAAATTGAAAATGAAAATTGATTCTGTTCAATGAGACACTGTCTGTAAAAGAAAAATGAAGTTCCCTGCAGCTATTCACAATGTCGATCCAAACTAAGATAGTATAGAGAAAGTCTGATCTTGTTTCACAAAAAAGTTATTGAATGCCTTTTTAAGCGACACACAGAAGAATTATGAGTATGGCGTCAAATATGAATAGAACGAGTTCAGCTGATTGCCTAATTAAAACAAGAAGTGTTTGTGAAAAACTGATGCCCCCGTATGGCAACTTATAGCGAAGGTTAAACTTTCTCAAATCAAATATGTTGGTACCCAAAGTAAGGTCTTGTTCCGAGGAATATACCTGTGAAATATGAAAGTCCTAGCAGCAACCATTGAAAAGATATGGAAAAAGTTAAAGTTTTTCAAAAGTAAGTCAAACATCAAGGTCAAATGGTACAAAATTAATGGTGCCCAAGGAAAGGGCTTCTCACTAAAAAATAGTTAAAATACACGTGAAATATGAAAGCCCTAGCACCAACCTTTCAAAAGACATGGCCAAGGATAGTTTTTCAAAAGTAGGTCAAACTCCATGGTCAAAGGGTCAAAGTTGCTGGTATTCAAAGGGAGGTCTTGTCACAAGGATTACATATGTGAAGTATGAAAGCCCTAGCATCAACTGTTAAAAAGTAAAGTCCAAGGTTAAAGTTTTCCAAAAGTAGGTCAAACTCCAAGGTCAAGGTCAATGGACTATAACTGTTGTTATCTAAAGGAAGGTCTTCTCACAAAAAATAGACGTGTAAAATATGGAAGCCCTAGCACCAACTGTTCAAAAGACATGCCCGAGGTTAAAGTTTTCCAAAAGTAGGTCAAACTCCAAGGTCAAGGTCAGAGGGTCAAAGTTGTTGGTATTCAAAGGAAGGTCTTGTCACAAGGATTACATATGTAAAGTATGAAGGCCCTGGCACCAACTGTTCAAAAGTTATAGCCAAAGTTAAAGTTTTTCAAAAGTAGGTCAAACTTAGGTCAAGGTCAAAGGATCAAAATATTGGAATCTAAAGGAAGGTCTTGTCACAAGAATTTCACATGTGAAGTATGAAAGGCCTAGCAACAACTGTTCAAAAGTTATGGCCAAGGTTAAAGTTGGGAAAAAATTTGTAAAACTGGGTCAAAGGTCAAAGTCAAATATGATGTTACCCAAAGAAAGGCCTTGTCACAAGGAATACACATGTGAAATACGACAGCTATAGCTCCAACCAATCAAAAGTTATGAGCAATGTTAAAGTTTTTTGCTGACAAACAGAAACAGACAGACAGATGGACGGACAGGGCAAAAACTATATACCCCCCGAATCTTCGATACGGGGGCATAAAAATACAGACTTGGTAAGAACATTGCAGAATTTTGAATGATGTATATTTAGGGGCGAAATAGCATCGTTTACTAAGTACTAAGGTGCACACTCAAAACTGAATGTAAATAGATGTAGTCTCTTTCTAATATCTTTTAATTTTACAGAGTTCTAGAGTGTAGAGTTAGACAAAGTAGTTTTGTAAAGACCAATCAAAACCATTTTTTTCCAGTTCCATTTTTCTCGACGAAGCAGTTGTCTTTGATTTCAAAAAGCATAATTTTTAATTTATCATCAAGAATGGTTGTACGTATATAGTGTTTGGAAAATCAAACGTTTTGATGTTACTGACTTTTGAAAATGTTTGTGATTTTAAATCTTCTAGATTCGTAGAAGTTAGAATCCACATTTCATTTACACCACTTCTTGAATACGAGTATGTTGTGCAGTTATCTCCTTCACAGCAGTTTATATTTTTTGAGGAGTAATAATAGGGGCTTTTATGACGTTTCGTAATCCAGTATAGATGTAGGTAGAGTAAATCACATTCACCGAAAAACGGAAAATGCTTCTTTTTTTTTTTTTTGTAAAAAACAATAAAACCTTCTTTTCATTACTCCATATAAAAATGTATATGAAATGATAATGCAAGAGACCCGCAGGCCACGTTCTCACCTTCCGGTAAATCAAGTACGTCGCTGAATGTCTTGTATGTTTATAATTATATCTAGCCTGTTCAAAAAGCGCTAAATCAAATCCACGCTTACTTGTAAAATCAATTTCCGTCTAAATATATCACACGCTAAATATAATACAGTATAACTCAGAATACACCACAATAACTACTGTGAAATCACTAATTTTCATGGGGATATTACTTTCGTTGTTTTTGAGGCATGAAAAGCCCACGAATTCATGTCCACCACGAAATATAAATTTTCTTATATTAAATTGCTACTCAATAATTCTTCATCCACGAAATCAAATCCCCATGAACCCATAGTTTTTCCTCTAACCACGAAAATTTGACCACACGAAAATATGTTATTTTACAGCATTCGATAACAGTTCTGTTATGTAATATTTTTCTACAAAAAAGGTAGTAAAACTAATATGATTTGATATAGCATATAAAAAATGTCATTTTATTGGTGAGTTAAATAATCTTTTGTATAAGATATGGCTCCTTGTTTCCGAATTCTTACAAAATAGTAAAAAATCATGGTTAAACGATGAACAAACTAGGAACGTTATGAAAGAGCACTCTATAAATATTCAGAAATATAGATTCCTTCCTCAAACAGTTTCATGTAGATATACATATGATCAAGGAAGGAAGACATACAAAATAATTTACATGTTCATATTTATTCATAGTTCCAATTTTATTGATTGGTAAACAGTGCTACAGATCGACACAATATGTCTCGTCAAACATTATTAGGAGAATCGCTGTCTTTGCGGAGAGGATTAGTGTCTCCCTTCTACCTTCCACCACTACCCACTGATTATGCCCCTTATTTACGTTACCTTATCAAGAAAGGTAAGGCTTACAGTATACAAAGTAACAGGTAACTTTGGCGGTGTCTTCATTTATGCACATAAACGTAACATCTCCGACATCTGTTCATAAAAATGCATTTGTACTATGATGCCTCAAATCCTTTTCCCTTTGGCGCCTGAAGTTTGAAAAATAAGTTTTAAAGTAAAGTATATCCTGATTTCTTAAGTATTAGTTCAGATTTCAACATTTTCAACTTTGCAGTTGTTTTTCTTTGATACTGATATTATCAATTGCGTCAATGATATTTTCTATGAATGAAATATGAAGATAACGAACATAAACAAGCTCAAAAGTAAACTGGAACAAGTATTAGCTTTCCTAAAAACTTGTCTGACTTGAGCAAATTTATTATTACGCGAAGAATCAAGAAATGTTAAATCCAGTGTAATCAACATGACTCTGAGTCCAGAAATTATTCTTTTGCTGAGAAATAAGAAAAGTTCATTTCAGTGGCATCAACATTAAATAAAACTTGGACATGAATTTGTTCTATATACACTTTATTACTTGTAATTTATTTTTTTCATTGCCGTTGGGACCGGGGGGGGGGGGGGTATTGTGTTGGGTTGGGTTCGGGCACCGTGCCCCAATAATTTTGCCGATTTAAACATAGCTACTTAACTTGTGTCTCCTAAATTATATTTATAATTCTATATAAATAATACGGCCTTAAAATTTTTATAATCTATTAGGAATTTTTGCTTGATAGTGCCCACCCTATACTGGAAACATGCTTAACACCCAAACAAGCCAAAGCATTGGACCTAATTATTATCACATTATACATTACACGTAACATAACATTTGGTCATTCTGTTATGCATCACTATAATTCCAGCAAAGCTGTTCAGGTCAACACTATCAGATTGACTAATAGAAGTTTATTTTCAATGCACACAGTCTTTCTACCTTTAGAATTACGCATATTCCTAACTTTGCAGACCTTTGATTCAGTCATAGTTAAACAATTTCAAGAGTAAGATGATGGTAGATGATATACTTTTTTATGTTTACACTAGACAAAACTACTAACGCACCACCTAAATAAATTAACATTTTTCTTTTCAAAACTTGTTTATGATGTTTTTGATATATAATTATGTTACTTCATTAAGAAATGAGAGATTTAAATGTTTTAACTGATAAATAACAGCAATGTTTACTGAAGCGTAACCACGTCATAGAAAAAATTAAAATCATATCTATGCTTTTCTGGTGGAATAAATTTCTAATTTTTTCTTTGTGTTTGTATTCTTTATGTTTGTACTAATTAAAAACTCAGAGAAAAAGTTACACCGTATGCGGCGTTTGACTCTAGAAGAGCCTGCGAAGGCAGCCAGTATGGTATCTGCAGGGGGTTCCTTTGAAGAAATTTGTGAAAAATTAAAACAATTCAAAGATTATGCGTTTCTCTGGTGAAAAATTGTTGAAAATGAATTAACGATCATAAAAATGTTTACAATAGATATCGACGGCATTAAGTAAGCACCACACAATAACTTCAAGATTGTTCCACAAAATTGGGGCAACCGGAAGTTGGGTGGATTTGGTAGGGAAACCAAGGCACTTGATGACTACTAAGCGATATGGTAGTCAATCAGGGTATATAATTTGATTTTTAAGTGGGAGACTGTTCCCGTCGCAACGTCACGGACCACCTTCGGTAATCATCAACTTCATATCTTGGCAAAAACGGTGCGCAGTGCACGTCGGGACATTGGTTTTCGGACAAGAAGGTCCTTTAAGGGTCTTGACATTACACCAAGACATTTGTCAATCCAACTGTTTTGGAAAAGATGGCATATTTTATATACTCGTACCAATCAGGAAAATGATCAATTCACAAATAAGAATAATAAGTGGTGCGTTAGCAATTTTGTCTAGTGTATATGGAAAGATGTTAGTTCATTTATAACAAGTATATTACAATGTATTTTAAAAAGAAATCATAATTCTCCCAACTGTTCACCAAAATTTAATAATGTGTAGATTTGTAATATGTGATGTAACCTTTTCTTTCAAAAGTACTGGTCTTATCTAGTATTTGGGAAAAGGCCAATCAGAAGAAATGTCACGGGGAAGGGGTGCACAACCAAAAATTTCAGGGGGGCACTAACTTGGAAAAAAAAATTATCAAGAAAATAAGTTGATATAAATATGTTATTGTTTTACATGACCTCTGGGCCACAAGCAATAAAGTACATGTAGCTGTGTTTTCTCTAACATATATTTAATTATATATCGGCAAAATGGGGAGGGGGGTTCCCCTCCTCTTCATGGTTCCTACGACCATGAAAAAAAGAAAATTACAAGTAATATGGTAGAAGTCTATATAGAATAAATTCATATCCGAGTTTTATTTCATGTAGATACAACTGGATTTAACTTTTTTTTGATTATTAGCAGAACAATTTATTTCTGGACTCAGAATTATGTTGATCACACTGAATTCAACTTTTCTTAGTTCTTCATATAATAATAAATTTTGCTCGCGTCAGACAAGCTTTTTAAGAAAGCTAATACTTGTGTAAAGATACTAGGTGCATGTTTCTTGGTAAGTGTTATTCTTAGTGTTACCTAAATGCTTTTGAAATTTTTTATGGTATGTCAGATGTTTATTATCGTTTTCAAAGCGTTAGGTTATCCCTGAGCGGTAAACAGGCAGCCTTATCACAAATGTAAAGCGGAGACGCATATCAAGTGTGACGGAATCAGCCGAGGTTTGCCGAATGGAGTTATACATCATTCACTCGGCACACCTCGGCCGATTCGTACCTCATCTGTTTGATGAAGGTGACGGAATCAGCCGAGGTTTGCCGAATGATACATCATTGAAAACTGTTTTTCGTTTAATAAGATTCAAAACATGAAATGCAGTAAAGCTTTATCAGAGACGTATTAATCCGGATGTTGTGTTTCCGAACAAATCGTCCAGATTTATGAAGCATCTGGATTACTGAAACAAATATTTTATAATTGGTAGACATAAATTTATAATTGGTAGACATAAATTTTGATTCTGTTCGAGGAAAATAAATTCCGGAAGGTGTAGCGTCCGGATTAACTGGATATTGTATATCAACAAGAAGGAAAAAGCGGATTAAGATTGTCCGCGTAAACTTTGCTTTTGAAAAATAAATCTAGGTTTGTGTGTTACAGATGTATTTGTATTCAAAATGGGAACAAGGGTAAATCGATTGAAACAAAAATCCATATGAGCTAATTACATACAAATTTCAAGTCCCTTATTAAATTTATTGAATGCTTATGTTATTTGAGAATGGTATGTAAATTATTTTCTTGTTATTATAAATTTAGATCGTCTCAGCAAGACAGAGGAGGTTGGAAGAATTATGTACAAAGACATAAAGTTCGCAGTCTTTAAAGGTGCATTAGAAAGGGAAGACGTATGTAGCAGCTTTTTTTTTCTTTGCCAATTCCTTTAAAAAAAAAACTTCTGTATCATTAACCTGGTGTATTTACGTCTTTTATTGAATTCAATAAGCATAAGTTATTGATTCTTTAGAGTTGGCTTGCAGAGTCAAACTTTTAATTCTCCTTCATTATTAAGTCATAAGGATCACTTGAGGTGTGCAAGCATACTCAAAGATCACAAGTTCTACATTTCCCAGTGACATAAATATCTGCGTTGAAGCAGCAATAAATCCAAAGAATATCCAGAATCTGGGGAAAGTGGACTTACCTTCATGGTTTTTTTTTTGGTTTTGTTTTTATGCCCCCGTATCGAAGATTCGGGGGTATATAGTTTTTGCCCTGTCCGTCGGTCTGTCTGTCTGCAAAAACTTTAACATTGCCCATAACTTTTGATTGGTTGAAGCTATGGCTTTCATATTTCACAAGTGTATTCCTTGTGACAAGACCCTTCTTTGGGTACCAACATACCTTGACCTTGGAGTTTGACCCAGTTTTGCAAAATTTTACCCAACTTTAACCTTGGCCATAACTTTTGAATTGGTGCTTGGCTTTCATACTTCACATGTGTAATCCTTGTGACAAGACCTTCCTTTGGATACCAACAACTTTGACCCTTTGACCGTGATCTTGGAGTTTGACCTACTTTTGAAAAAACTTTAACATCGGCCATAACTTTTGAACGGTTGGTGGTAAGGCTTTCATACTTCACATATGTAATTCTTGTGACAAGACCTTCCTTTGGATACCTACAACTTTGACCTTTTGACCTTGGAGTTTGACCTAATTTTGAAAAACTTCAACCTTGGCCAAAACTATTGAACCATTGGTGCTAGGGCTTTCATACTTCATATATGTAATCCTTGTGACAAGACCTTCCTTAAGATACCAACGAATTTGACCCTTTGACCTTGACCTTTGGAGTTCGACCTACTTTTGGAAAACTTTAACCTTGGCCATAACTTGTGAACCGTTGGTGCTAAGGCTTTCATACTTTACGTATGTAATCCTTGTGACAAGACCTTCCTTTGGATTACAACACCTTTGACCCTTTGACCTTGACCTTGGGGTTTGACCTACTTTTGGAAAACTTTAACCTTGGCCATAACATTTGAACCGTTGGTGCGAGGGCTTTCAAACTTCAAATATGTTATCCTTGTGACAAGACCTTCCTTTGGATACCAACAATTGTAATCCATTAACCTTGGTTATAACTTTTGAACGATTGGTGCTTCAGCTTTCATATTTCACCAGTATATTTCTTGTGAGAAGACCTTTCCTTAGGCACCATTAATTTTGACCATTTGACCTTGACCTTGATGTTTAACTTACTTTTGAAAAACTTTAACCTTTTCTATATCATTGAATCTATTCAATGGTTGCTGCTAGGGCTTTCATATTTCACAGGTATATTCCTCGAGAAAAGACCTTACTTTGGGTACCAACATACATGTATCTGATTTGCATTTGAGAAAGATTAACCTTTGCTATACGTTGCCATACAGGGGCATCAGTGTTTCACAAACACATCTTGTTTTTTTTTTTTTTTTTTTTTTTTTTTTTTTTTTGTTTCTTTTCTTTTCGTTGATTTATTTACATGATAAAATTAGAGTAAAACCGTATTTATTTTGGGAACATATTTTTGAGAAAAAAATTTCTCCAAGAATGGAAGGGCTTTGTGCATCCTAAATTCAAAGCAAATCTGTGCCAGTAACGCTTATAATTCAATATAATACTTCAATTGGTTAGGCTTTTCGACAGGAAAGAAAAGTTCGACCCGCCCATTACAAAGGAAATCGGCAAAACCTATTCCTTAACAGCGAAAAAATACCATTACAGCAAAAGATTTGAGGAATTACTAGCATTGTACAAATTCAGATGTCCGTATCGGAAAACCAGACCAAACACAACTTATTGCTGGTAAATCTCTGTAATTTTTTATGAACCTGGAAGCAAAAAAAGTGGCCAAGTCTATTTAGGGTAAAGTTTTCTACAAAGTAATAATAGGGAACTGTTGAAGTTCAGAAATAGGAAAACATTTATTTAATCATCCTCATATCAACTGTTCAGCGATATTGGCAATGTATTATTTAGCTTTGCCATCTTTCATTTATAAAGTTCCTCTTAAAGTGTGACGTAAATTGGGGGGGGGGGGCAAATTACGTGAAAAGGGGGGGGGGGCAAATTACATATTGGCGTGAATGATCTTGGAGTAGGCTTGCATACCTCTCGTAATACCCAACATTCTATGGAGAGTTACACAAGTTAAACCTTAAAGGTAAGTTTCATTTAATTTCTTAATTCTGTGTTAGGTTGACGTGATAGTGAACAGTACATCAGAAAAATTGAAACTAACGTTCGGGCAGTGTTCTCGGTCATTGTTAGAAGCGGCAGGAAGAGAGATTCAAGACGAGTGTGATGAAAAATATCCCTCAGGAGTCAGAAAGGGCGACGTAGCTATCACAGGACCTGGGAAACTTAATTGCAAAATCATTTGTCATGGCTCCCTTGTAAAATACGGGGATAATCTTGCAGAAGAGGTTAGTTTCCTTCTATGGTTACAACACTTTTCCATAATATATGAATCAATGATAACTCCAACTGTTTTTCTGGCAGATACATATGCAGTATATTTCCAACTGTCTGATGGAGATGGATAAACATGGATTCTCCACCATAGCCCTCCCAGCCCTGACTACGGGATTCCTGAAGTTCCCTAGGGATCTGGCGGCAAGAAACGCGTGTCGAGCCGTGAAGAGTTATATAGACGCAAATCCCAAGACAAACCTTAAAGAGGTTCACTTTGTTATACACCACAGCGACACCATAACTATTCAAGTAATCAGTTCGTATTATATTAAGTGTATACTGTTTTACCAGATTCTGTAGAAAACCTGAGAATGTATATATTATCATATTTACATTGGATTCTGAAACATAACAAAAATCCTTACAAAGTTACATAGCGGGTTCCAGTAAATGCTCTACCAAGCTTCTTTCTTTACTCCTCACTAAAATATTAACAGCAGTGAAGGAGACACTTCAGGAGTACTATGCAACAATATATTCGAGGAGTGATGTAAATCAGATGAAGGATACTTAAAAATTCCAAGGAACTTTTGGAAAATTTGAAATCACAAAATTTTAACAAAATCAATAACATAAAAACTTATGACTTTTTAACTCTGCATACGAACATTCCCCACGATAAATTAAAGTCCAGGGGCCCGTTTCATGAAAGGTCGTACGCCAAGTCGTAGCGCTACGCCTGCGTAAAGTCGGGACTAGCACAAAGATTTGCATTTCATTAAATAGCGTATCCTAACACCGGATTAAAGTTGGGCCAAATTTTTACGTCTACTCATGGGTAGGTGTAAGTTCGGGCGTAAACATAAAATAAAACGACTTTACTGATCTGAAAACAATTTAGCCATTCCTTAAGAAGAATTACAGTAAATTCTAAGAAGTCTTTTTAATACAAACGATGTATTATTTAACTTCACAAACTATGAATATTTGGGGGAGCGGAAATTGGGGGAACGGAAATTGGGGGGGGGGCACCCATTTGGGGAAGTAGTTGACATGCAGTATATTTACATAACTTTAAGAGCCATAGCGCATTTGATAGGCATTTTCGCCTACTCTACCAGTGATTTCTTAAATTGATTGTTTAACCAAAATTTTGTCATTCAATATTAGTTTATACATACGTAAAACCAAACCACACAATAAAACGTATGTATATTAGTTTATACATACGTAAAACCAAACCACACAATAATGATATTTCATTAATAATAGTTCGATCCTTCATATGATAAATATGAAAATTATCCAGTTTGTATGGAGTGTATAGTAAATATTGAGGTATCCACCTAAAGATGACAAACTGTTGCCAAAGACCGCCCTTAACCAGAAAAACAATTTTGAATAATTGTATTTGGATATGATTGCTCTTCATTACATTTAAATAATTTGGTTAAAGGTGGTCTTCATATTGAAAATGATGAAAATATATATTCAAATTTTCTTCTTGTATAATCGTAAGATTTAGCAACCTGTCTTAAATTTATATCCATTCGACGTCATTGACTTGGTTGGCGCATTGGTATGATTGCTGGAATGTAAATATGGTGATTGCGAGTTCGAGCCCCACATTTTTCCGTTTATGCTTTTTTTTCCCTTTGTGTATCTTTTCTACGTTTTTCTTTATTACGTTTTATAATGTGCATAATTTCAGAAAGTTATAATATACACATTACACTTTGAAAGTATCTCGGGAAAAGACAGTCCTAAACTATTTTATTAAAGTCATATATGGCGTATTTAACTAAAATTAAAAAGATCTTTCTATTTGTTTCATTACTTTATATAAAGATAGGACTTTCCTGTAAATTACACAATTAAAAATCAATCACGTTTCAAAGATATTAGAAATTTAATACAATATCCGATTTATTTAACGACTCCGCAGTTAATTAACAGACACAGTTTAAAATCAGTTTAACTATGGAACCAAAAGGTTATTCAAGTTCAAAATCGGTGGAAAATTTTTATTTGAACGTAAAAAACATATCACGTTCATCTTCACTCAATCTCGTATTTTTATTTTATTATATTTTTTTAGCTCAGATACGCCATATATAGCTTTAAAGTTTGTAAATTCATAGCTACTTGTTTTATTTTTATTGATTTTCTAAATCTTTTGTCTCAGAATTAGAGTATTGAACAAATTAAATGAATGTCATTTGACATACTCGCAACTAAGAAAATATATTACTCGTCCTCAAACCATATTACGTAGTTTGATCTTGAATTGAAAAGGTATATCTATACATGTAAATAGAAACAGGTGATTTCCTTTTAAATTCTTGAGTCGGCCGTGTCGTCGGAGAGGCAGCTATGGCTCTTTCTTCATAAAAGATTGTCTTATTAACAGGGATTCATTTTTACACCATCTCTTAAGTTTTGATAATCCTGCATTTATACACATTTGATTGTTGTATTTTGAGTACGAGGTATTGTACAGGGTGTTTCAGAAAACATGCAACCGTTTACTTTCCTCACTTAATTGATATGCAAACAGAATCATATAAAAGTTCTATAAAAACTTATTCTAAAAAGGCTTCAGTTTTTATTAATAACAAAATATTGAGAAAAAATTATCATTTTAAATAATTATGACGTCATATTTGACATCACTGAAAAACAGATGATTTCATTTTTAATATGGAATTTTAAAGTTAGAAGCAAACATCAGAAGTTTTGAAACTGCTTTATCAAAGCATGTCTCCAGTTCTTGTGCTTTGGCCAATGAAGATCCAGAATTCAAAGAACTTAAAAAGATAATTTATTGTGGAAATTGTACAAAGCTGTTAAAAATTTTGAAGCTAATGGAACATGTGGAATGTGGATGATTAAAGAAAGGGAAATATTGGATGAACAAAGAAACATGAAAAGAAACATTGAAACATGAAAACATTGAGAATGTTAAAGACGTTTCAGAGACTGGCATGAAAACCTTAAGTAAAATAAATGAGCTTGTGAACGAATGTAACCTAAAAGTAAGTGAGTCAAGTGTATATTGGATGTTGAAATACGATTTGAATCTTACACCTTAGAACAAATGATTGGAGGACGATTCATCTCTTTCAAATCCAAGAACATTTGGCCCCCGCACCTCCAAACTCACCCGACTAATAACCCCTTGACTTTTATCTGTGGGGACATATTACATTGTAATGAGAATAGATTATAAAACAGTCATCCTCAAACTATACTCAAAATGCTCAAATGTGAGACCAGGCTCATTACGCAGAGACACTGAGCACTAGTACTGAGAAATTTCTTGCAGTGGATAGATTTATTGATTCAGCAAAAATGACGTCCTTTTGAACATATTATGTAACTAAGTGAAATTTAACACATTTTCTGTATTCTTTTGTAACTCCTTTTCTATTTGCCAGATTAAATTCATTTTTATATGAATTAATTTTGAAATTGTGCCTTTAAATAAAACATGTAGGTGGATGGTATTGGATGAAACACCATTAAATTGTAATCAATCAAAATGGTTGCATGTTTTCTGAAACACCCTGTGTATATACATTTTGTGTCATTCACTGAAAAGAAACCTATTAAAATGTTCATTTTGAAAAAAAAAGCTATTTTCCCCAACATTTTTTTTTTAAAAAAAGGAAGCACAGTTATCTTCTTTAAGTTTGGTTAATATCTATATTTAAAAAAAAATATTTTTTTAACTCATCGTAAAACCAAGTAGGCTTTTTAAAAACTTTATCGTGCTCGAAAACTCCATTTCTTATTTACTCCACGTCCACATGCGTGGATCTAGGGGGGTCATGGAGAGGGTCCAGTCCTCTTCGCCGCAATTTGCGGAGTTATTCAGGTATACAAATTTAGAGTAAAGAAAGTAAAAAAATGAAAATGACCTTAGACCCCTGTTAAAAAAATTAAGTTAGTAGGTTGGTAGGAAGAGCCATATTTATCAAGTTTAAGAATTGAAGGGAAGGACGAAGGGACCCCCCCCCCCCCCCGAAATAAGATTTTCAGTTTTGGGAAAGAAAGTTACGATATTTAGCTTGTCAACAAGTTTCTCGGATGGAATTTTTGTTTACTGATGACCTACCCTCCCCCCTCCCTTGAAAAAAAAATCACGGACCCGCCTGCGTCCAGAAAAAATTGTTAACGTTCAAAAGACGAACAATATTCCGGTTGATTTCGTAAATATACTTGAAAGTCAATATATCCTGATATTGTTTACAAATTAAACAGGATTTTACCATAGGGACTAGGGGCAACAAAGTCACTCGAAAGCTTCTGAAAATCAGCTGTAAGAGAAACTTTACTCGGAAATGACTGTGAATTTACAATTATTACGCCCATGTATGACAATATATTAGTGTTTAAACAATGTATGATAGAATTCTGAAATTTTCAAAATGGATATCGATGGTACTTGCCTTTCTTTATCGGGAAAATCAAAAAGAATCCGCATTTAAAAAAAATAAATACTACAATTTTTTTTAGGAACAAACGGAATGGCGTACAAGGTACTGTCATAGAAGAAATGGGAAAACATCTTTATTTTTTCATAATAATGCATATTTTGTAATATTTTATCGATTCTTAACTATTTAGTAGTCCATCATATGCCCAGTTACATATGTACACAAGTACATAAAATTGTAACGAATTATCCCCCCCCCTTCTACTCTCTCTCTGTCTCTTTCTCTCTTCCTTTATCAAAATCCAGGGGGGGGGGGTAATGTAGATACTCCAAAATTTATATGTATATATTCCAAAATTAATACATTTGCAAGAACATTTATTTCTTTTCTCAGACCTTTAATTTTGGAGTTTAATCAGGTGGCATGTTGTAGGTAGTTAATATTTTATAATAATTAGATATAAGTTGCATGTTTTCTAGAAGGTCCCTAAAAATTCATGTAAGATTTCATTTAAGTTAATGTATATGTGTGTTGTTCTACAGACATTGTACACAATACGTATGTATGTTTTTTTTTTTGCGCATGTGCAATGCAGCGTTGTAAAGGACTTAGTCCTGAGACTAAGCGTATCGTTTACGACTAGACTTACGCCACTTCGTGAAACGTAAATTACGTCTAAATTTTGGCGTAAGCCCCAGAAGTACACCTAACTTAGGTCTTAAATTTACGACTTTTGATGAAACGGGTCCCATGCTTTTTGACAGCTGCTTTTTCAATAAAAGTAGAACTCATTAATTTACTTACCTTGTCATTGGTCATTTGCAAAATTATTCTGACTGTACACATAAGTACTCTGAAGTTGACATTAAGAAGATGCTTGAGTTTCTGATTGACAATATCTATATGGTTTTTGGAGACCAGGTCCTCCAACAATTAGTTGGAATATCCGTGGGTACCAATTGCGCCCCGTTGTTAGCAGACCTATTTTTGCATTCAAATAAAGTAGAATTCAAAATCTTATACATGAAAAAAGAAATTGCTTGCTGTGGCATTTAAATATATCGACGACGTATTATCAATTAACAATAGTTATTTCCATTCATATGTCGACACGATATATCCCAGTGAGCTTGAAATAAAAGATACCACAGAGTCTGACACATCTGTTTTATATTTGGATATTTTACTAGAAAAAGACGTTAATGGTAATCTAACAACAAAGTTTATGATAAACGTGATGACTTTAACTTTTCAATCGTCAACTTTCCTTATTTATGCAGCAATATACCCTTATCACCTGCATATGGAGTGTATATCTCTCAGTTGATTCGATACGCAAGAGCATGCTCTACGTATGAACAATATCTAAAATGAGGTAATTTATTGACAAACAATAATATCAAGTCTCGTTTAAAGTCATCATTTTGTAAGTTCTTTGGTCGGTACAATGACCTTGTTAGCAAATACAATATATCATTAAGTCAAATGCTTGCTGACGCTTTTCATGCTGATTGTTAGGCCATTAATTACACATTGAATTGTCCACGGATTTTTCCGTTTAATATTTCCCGACATGACAAGGAGCACACGGCGGGTGTGACTGGTCGGCAGGGGATGTTCACTCCTCCATGGCACCTGAACCCACCTCTGATGTTTTTGGAGGTCCGTGTTTGCTCTGCTCCTGATTTATATTGTTTTAATGGACTTTGAGCTTGAATACTGTTCGTTATTTCCATATTTCATTTATTACATATTCAATAGTGAAATACTGTGATTTATTTATTGAATAAAAGTGATATTCTTTCAAAGTGTGAAAGGATACCAAAATGGCTTTCTGTCTCAGTGTGAAAGGATATCAAAGTTAGTAAAAATGATTTCTGGCCTGTCATAAGATAGAGATAGTAACTAAACCACTTTGATAGAGATTTAAACTGTTTTAAATTTTCCTCCCAAATATATTTAAGGAATGTTTTCAAGTTTTGTGTGAGTTATCGGTGTGTAAATCCCACAGACTTGTGACGTAGGCACATTTCATGAAGCGCGCTAGCTTCATGAAAAAAATGCCTACGTGCAAGTCTATGTGATTTACGTCAATAAAATTGGTTGTTAGTATTGGAATTAATGTTGCAGCTGTTGCAGAAAAATGCATAACCCGTGTAAGCGGGTTACGTAATTTTTTTTCCGCAATAGCTGCAACGTTAATCCCCATACTTACAAACAAAGAAGGAAATTTTATTGTTAATATTTATATCTGTACAAAAATCATCTAGAGTAAGATTAAGTAGGTTAAATATAGTATTATAGATATGTACGTTATTATACGTTTCATTGATGGAAGAGCCACTGCTTAAGAAATCTTAACAGGTGATATGCTTATTGCTGTTTACTGACTGATAAACAGCAATGGTTTCTTAAGAAATAAAGGAGAAGATATTCAGTGGATGTAAAAATTATTCTCTAAGTGTATACTTATAGGTATTTGCAGATGTTGTCAACACGTTAGATCTCGACCAGCAAGCAGGTACAACTGTGAATCTGCTCTAATCTGCCTCTACTTCTGTACTTGTCTTTGACATAAAGTAAATGAATTTTGATCTGTAATATATATATATATATATATATATATATATATATATATATATATATATATATATATATATATATATATATATATATATATATATATATATATATATAGGGATGTCAGTTTGTAACCGGTTAACCGATTACTCGGTCGGAACGATGGTAATCGGTTAGAAAATCTATAATCGGTTAGTCGGAAAAAATAAAATTTATATATAAATTTTAACACAATTTCCTGAAAAAAAAAAACACAGATAAAAATGTTTGAAATTTATCATTTTCACCTATCTATTTAAACTGATTTTGAAATAATTAAGGCTCTCTGAATTGACTTCGTGCGAGTAATTGGTCAGTTTTCGAGATAATTGTCGTTAAAACACCATAGGTCATTACCCAGTCTGACCCACGTTTCTTTAATAATTCTAATAAGATGATCGTGAGCCTATTATAATGTGTACCTTGTCTCTTCTACGTGCATCCTTTGTAATTACCTTTCAAATATAATTTATCAAACAATCATCGTAAATTAAGCGGTAGTTCAGACATAGTTTGAGCATAGCGATAATGCAGAATGAGCTTGCGTGACATCACTTCTTAATTTTTTTTTTTTTTTTTTTTTTTTTGTATCTGAGACTTCAGTCATGAGTTTCTTTCTTTCTTTTAATTTGTTTTTACCTATTATAATTGAAATAAAATATAAATAGTGTTCTGTTCAAATATATACTAAGTATCGCATTCAACATATGTAACATCTTTATAACTTTTTTTTAAACAGCTTACAATAATGAAACATGTCGAGAATTTTTGATACGATTAACCGATTAATCGGTCGGAACGTCTTGCGGTTAACCGATTGACAATTCTGTATTCGATTGCCATCCCTAAAATGTATATATATATATATATATATATATATATATATATATATATATATATATATATATATATATATATATATATATATATATATATATATATATATATATACATATGCAGAAATCAGTAGAAGAGTATGCAGCTGCAAGATTGGTGAAATTTCAGTCCTAGTGAAAGTTGGTATAGTGGAAGATGAAAAAGCTAAATTCGACATGGTTGTCAACTTTGTGGGGTCAGCTTCAATTGATGTTACAACTCGAACCAAACATGTTAGCAATGATATACAACATCTCTCCTTGGTGTCAGACGGAGATATGGAGGTTATTTACTCCAAACACTTGGATAAGAATAAAATTTACCATACCTATGTCTTACAATGCAGAACTGATCTGCGTGTTGTAAAGAAGGTGAGACGATGATCTAACAATATGTGACTTAAATTTCCATTCCTCATTCACTCGTTCTTCATTGTTTTGCTTTATTTTGTAATCCTTAAGATACAATGTGTTCATGTAATTACTTGTACAAGAAGATATACCGAACAGTTTTGAAATCAAATTGTTGAATCAATTTTTGTTCTTTTAAATTACTTTTTCATTCTAGGATGTTGGTGAAGCAGTGTTCAATTGTTTGACTGAGGCAAATAGGACAAAAATGAGTTCCATTGTCTTTATACTGCACAAGTCCGATTACAATCCACCACCTAAGATTGTGTCAAATGTGATATGCGAAGCATTGGATGGTTTTTCAAGAAATCATAATACCAATATGAATGTAACAGTGGTTATACCAGAACCTGATGGACGATACTCAGAAATAGCATATGTAAGTTAACCTTGGGTTGTCACACACACACACACACACACACACACACACACACACACACACACCCTCACACACACACACACACCCTCCCTCACACACACACACCCTCCCCCCCCCCTCACACACACACACACCCTCACACACACACACACACACACACACACACACACACACACAGAGAGAGAGAGATGTAAAAACACTTAAATTCCAACAAGTTTTACAGGCATTTAGAGAAGAATGCAGAAAATTCCAGAAAGCTGCTGCAAGCCATATAATACGTGAATTTTGTCGTGAATTGTCCCTCAAAAAACCTCGACCTCCGGAATACTGGACAACATTTACAGCGGACAGAACTATCAAGGTTGTAAGCAAATTAACCGTTTCTATCAAGATAAAAAATAATGAAGGAAAATATAGAAAGGGGCCAGCATAAATTAGTTTAACAATTTTTAATGTTGTGCATGGAAAAAGGTTTTAAAAAAGGATAAGCCATAAAAACATACTTTGTCACTATTTTGTATGAAATAAGTGACTAAATTAGGGATGGGTAGGCCAACAATTAAGAAACGGAGGGTTGAACTTATTATCTCATTTTTATTATATTTAATGAATTTGCATAGTTTTTTGTTGTACAGGAAATCTTCCATCAAAAATGTACCTGTTCTTATTGCAATTTAAGAGATTTTCTGTTCCGTGTTATCCATTAAAGTTATGGTATGTGAGGACAACAGAGATGCAGGTGAAACTAGATGCCACACTGGTAGACGTTGATGTTCCAACACGACAAGCTGTAGAGAAACTAGTCTTATCCACGTGGGTACCACAAATAGTGGGACATGGTAGAGACGCCAAGGGACTGTCAGACCTCAAATACTCTAGTATAAAGGTTTTAAAAGTGGAGAGGCTGGAAAACATTAATTTGTACGAAAAATATTCCTACTTTCGGGCGTACCTTTTTCAGAAGGCAGGAAGAAATGGAGTTTTCAAACAGCTGGATGAACTTTCACCGAGTTTGATAAATGTACTCACTTCGGAAATAATGGGAAGTAATCCCCTCCTGAGAAGCGATCAGTACCCAGAAGAAGCCAACGAACACTTTCTTTTTCACGGAACAAAGGCCGAAACATACAAAAGTATTCTTTCGAATGGTTTCGATATCACCATGGCTGATAATAAAGGCATGTTTGGTCAGGGGATGTATCTTGCCGAGAGTCCAACAAAGGCAGATCAGTACACAGGTACATCACAGTTAAAGAAATCCTAAATCTGTTATTATAGAAATAAAGTATTTTTTTGTAAATTAAACAAAGATTAGATAACTTTTTAAAGTTTATACCCTTGCATTTATTTTCTGTATATAATATTTTTCACTCAAAACCGCTTATGTTATCTCCTTACTTTTATCCTTTTTGTTCTAAATTAAAATACTATTTGAAAGCGAAAGAACTTTAAATGTTTGGTAAAGTGTCTGATCGCCTTTAAACGAATCTTCAATTACTTTTCCACCTTTTGTTTTTATCTGATTTAATTAAATCCCATTGAATTGATTAATGATCAACTTGAGTAAGTTTATTGCATCAGTAGTAAAAATGGAAAACTTATAGTAGTTGTATCAAAATTTGCAATAAAGAGTAAATTATTACTCTTTTCGACTTTAAGACGAAGACAATGTCGCTTATACTACGTAGAAAAATCAGTTGAAATGTTCAAAATGCATCACTGAATTCACCCTATTATGCTGCACTTTGGGATTTTTTTTTTATCTATAAACATTCATACTACCTGTCTTAGAAAATTCCAAACTTAAAATATGTGTTTCAAGCCAAAATGCCCATATTTTCCTCGGATAATTCGTGACGGGCAGAGTTCTGGTTGCTTATTAGAGCTCTGGTTTCAGATCACATAGACGACAGAACGAAAGGCGAGAAGAAAATGTTTTTGGTTCGATCTTGCCTTGGTAAAATGCATGTAGCAAGGCATCCTAAACCAGAACTTCGAAGACCTCCATGCTTTCAGTCTGGCTGTGAGTCCGATTCCTGTGAACATTCCGACTTTCAGCGCTGTGATAGCGTGGTCGGTGATGGAGCCTGGTTATTCCGAGAGTTTGTTACGTACCACCACTACCAGAACTACCCGGAATACCTCATCACTTACATTAGAGTGTAATGCAGTACTATACATTGTTTTTTGTTGTTTTAGTTTTTAGTTCAAGTTGTTGTTTTATTGTTTATAAAAACCCAGCATGTGGCAGTTTATATTTGTGAGGAATTAATTTTGTTATTTTACTAATTAGACATTTTAAATTCTACTTAGAAACAAAATTATTTGAAATACATTTTAAATACAACATTGTTTGACTTAACTGACTCTTAATGTACATTGTTGAAGAAGTACATGTAGAAGTTATTTGTTTGAAGACTTTATCTTCAGTGACGATGTATCTGGTCTTCAACATTTTCGGGAAGACTAAGTCAGTCTGTTATGGAATTCAGCTTGCAATATTTGTGGATCTGTATATTTGGGTAGAATAAAACCACATTTTTAACTGATTGACTAAACATTTTTGCATTGAATATTGTCATATATTATGTTTGTTTTTTTTCTCAAGATGACATGCTAGGTCTTTATTGTACCCCTTTAACACTTGGCAGAGAATTTTTACCCCAAAAATCTTGTGATTAAGTGAATTTTTATGGCAACAGAAAATGGATTTCTTTTTTTAACAAAAAGATTGTATAATAGTTACTGCAATGTAATTTTACATCATTGTTCAGCCAGACCTGTTTGTGTGATTTTTCATTAAAATTCAGGTTAACTTGAGAGAGGAAAGAAATTTAAAAACCTTTATTAGCCAGATCTTATAGTAAATGTATGGGAGCAATGGATCTGTCAATTCAGTTGCTAGTAATTATCCTTCATAAATTGGAACGTAGTTGCACTTGTAGAAAGAACACTGTTTTTTTTTATTTACTTGATATAGTTGTGGATTCTTTTTTAAGGTTTTGCCAAAGGTCAAGATGTCCAAAAATTTATTTTTACAATAGCTCCAAAACTATGTGAGGTATAAAGTTAAAACTTTTACAGTTTATAAATATATCATTGATTAACAGATAGAAAGTATCACTTGAAAACAAGTATTTTAAAAAATATATTTATTCAGAAAAAACATTTCAAAAATTTTTCATATTTTAAAAAAAATGCACCTGCTTAATTCTGTACTTTTAGTGAAAACCATCATTGCAGAAATAATATATGTTTATCAATGAAGGGTAAGTTGGACGTGAATGGTCTCTGAAAGGCTGTTATTGAAAGCATGACATGTATAAAGACAAGACCCCTATAAAATCCGCCATTTGCTATGTACTTTCGGTTTCAAATCGTAACATTTGGACAAAATAAACAGGGAAAACAACTTTCCAGAGGCTATCGAAGTCCAACTTGCCCTTCATTGATAAACATATATTGTTTCTGGAATGATGGTTTTCACTAAAACTACGGAATTAATTAGGTGTATTTTTTGAAAATATATGCATTTTTTTAAAAGAATTTTTCTCGATAAATATTTTTTTTAAGTATTTGTTATCAAGTGATACTTTCTATCTGTTAATCAATGATATATTTATAAACTGTAAAAGTTTTAACTTTATAAACCACATAGTTTTGAATATATTATAAAAATAAATTTTTGGACATGTTGACCTTTGGCAAAACCAGATATTATATCACAAGAAAACTAGTTTGCAAATTGTACATAAAATTTTGGACAGCTTGACTTTTTATGCCCCCGTAATTGAAGATTCGGGGATATATAGTTTTTCCCTGTCCATCCGTCTGTCTATCTGTCTGTTTATCTGTTTGTCCGCAAAACTTTAACATTGCTCCTAACTTTTGACTGGTTGGAGCTATGACTTTTATATATCACATGTGTGTTCCTTGTGACAAGACCTTTTTTCGGGTACCATCATATTTGACCTTTTGAACTTGACCTTGGAGTTTGACCCAGTTTTGCAAAACTTTAACGAACTTTAACCTTGGCCATAATATTTGAACGGTTGGTGCTAGGGCCTTCATACTTCACATGTGTATTTCTTGGTACAAGACATTCCTTTGGATACTAACAAATTTAGCCCATTGACCTTAGAGTTTGATCAACTTTCAGAAAACTTTAACCTTGGCCATAACTTTTGAATAGTTGGTGCTAAGACTTTCATGCTTCACATGTGTAATTCTTGTGATAAGACCTTAATTTGGATACCAACAACTTTGACCCATTGACCTTGACCTTGGAGTTTGACCTACTTTTGAAAAAGTTTAACCTTGGCCATAACTTTTGAACGGTTGGAGCTAGGGCTTTCATACTTCACACGTTTATTTCTTTTGAAAAGACCTTTCTTTGGATACCAACAATTAGAGCCAATTAACCTTGACCTTGGAGTTTGACCTACTTTTTGAAAATTATAACCTTGGCATAAATTTTGAATAGTTGGTGCTAAGACTTTCATACTTCACATATGTAATCCTTGTGACAAGACCTTACTTATGATATCAACAACTTTGACCCTTTGACCTTGACCTTGGAGTTTGACCTACTTTTGAAAAAGTTTAACCTTGGTTATAACTTTTGAGCTGGCTCTCATATTTTTCCCATGTGTATTTCTTGTGAGAAGGCATCTCCTTGGGCACCATTAATTTTGACCATTTGATCTTTACCTTGATGTTTGACTTTCTTTTGAAAAACTTTTCCATAACTATTCAATGGTTGCTGCTAGGGCTTCCATATTTCACAGGTATATTCCTCGAGACAAGACCTTACTTTGGGTACCAACATATTTGATTTGCATTCGAGAAAGTTTATCCTTCACTATAAGATGCCATACAGGGGCATCAGTGTTTCACAAACACGTCTTGTTTTTTTAATTACTCGCGTTGTCAATTATTGCATTAAAAGACCAATTCAAATGTTTCTCATCAACCATGGCTAATAAATACTGCTTTTACCAGCCAAGGGTTTCGCTATTCTTATCACAAATCCTTGGCCTATCTTTCTATCAAAAATCAGGATTTTTCTCTACATGTAGTTGTGATTGGAGTTTATTGACATCATTTGATCAGTCAGCAAGTGCTATAGTAAATTACATTATCTTCAATCAGGTTATTTTTTGACTCTATAGTCTTGGCAATGAAAAACCCATGTAAACAATAATTCATTGGTAACATTCAATTCTTTTAATAGCTATGGTATCATTCAATTGAAGATGATGGGCGCATAATCTTATCTGGAATCTATATCGCAGATATAGACTTGCAAACTTCCTAACAAATAAGCTTATCTGCTTGTTAATTATTCTTCAGATATTTACTTTTTATTTCTATCAATGCTGCAAGCTTATTTGAGATCATGTGACGTAAACAATCCTAATTTTTGAAAGCACGATAGGCCAAGGGTTTTTGAGAAGAGTAGGGGATCAGATATCCATGGCTAGCAAAGATGAGCATTTGAATAACCTTATTCTGGGCATGACTATATCTAATTACATTTAGATCATTCTGGTTAAGAGGTGGTCTTCATATTGAAAATGATGAAAATACATATCCAGTTTCTTTCTCATATTTTAAAAAAAAAAGAATCTGTTTTAAATTTATCATTTCGCTATCAGTGATCTCGTGGCGCAGTAGTCTGATTGCTGGAATGTAAATGAAATGATTCCGAGTTCGAGACCAACATTTTCCATATATGCCTTATTATTATGTATCTTCTTCAACGTTTTCTTTATTACTTTAAGTATAAACATAGTTTCAAAAAGTTCTAATATACATGTTAGACTGAAAATATCTTGGGAAAAGACGTTCTACACAATTTCATTGAATTTTGCAAATTCATACCTACTTGTTTAATTCTTACTGATTTTTCTAAGCCTTTTGTCTCGAAATTAGAGTAATGAACATGTAAAGTGAATTGTTATATGACATACATGTAGTTGCACCTATGAAAATATAGCACTTCACATAGGTATAAGCAAAATGCAGATTTAAGAAAAGCAAGGTCAAGGTCACAGGAAAGTTCAAGGTCAAATGTTTTTGATGCAGTGAATAGTTCTCATATTAAGTTTGATAAAAATATTTAGAATGGTTTATTTAAAAATGAGCTAAACACTAATTTAAAATAATGAAGTTAATGTAAAAGGAAAGGTCAAGGTCAAAAGATGTTGCAGTTGGAAAGGTTACATCAGTATGTATTAGCATAAGTTTGATAAAAATATCATGAATGATTTCTTTAAAATGAGTTAAACACAAATTGAGAAAAGTGAAGTCAAAATCAAATGAAAGGTCAAGGTCAAAAAATATTGATGCAGTTGAATAGCTTACATCAGTATGTATCAGCATGTGAAGTTTGACACTAATTTAAGAAACGTGAGGTCAAGGTCAAAGGAAAGGTCAAGGTAAAAAAATATTGATGCCGTTGAATATCTCTCATCAGTATGTATCAGCATATGAAGTTTGATAAAAATATCTTGAATGGTTTCATTAAAACTGAGCTAAACACTAATTTAAGAAAGTGAGGTCAAGGTCAAAGGAAAAGTCAAGGTCAAAAAATGTTGATGCAGTTGAATAGCTTCCATCAGTATGTATCAACATATGAAGTTTACTTACACTATCTTGAATGGTATCTTTAAAACTGAGTTAAACACTGAGTTTTTTTATGTGTTAGATTTCATTTATCAAAAAATATTTTCTGTTGCAGTTAGTTTGACAGGCATACATTTTTGCTAAATTGACTGGATTAGAAGGAGATTTAAAAAAAAAAAAAACTGTTCAACAAATTAACTGTCTGTAAATCTTCATACCAAGGAATATAAATTCATATCTTAGATAGAAGGCTCATGGTCACTCTCTGATCAGGTGTCTGATAATATTCAGGATTTCAGTGATCTACCAAGAACCTAGGTACTCTTATATGAATTTTGCATGTAGTTGAGTGTAACATTGAAAATTTTCACCCCAAGAAAACCATTGCCAACCTTGGCACAATGTTCCACTCAACTACATGCAATATTTATTATATATATTATACTGAATGTTTATCATAAAAACATGAGAACCTTATGTGCATAAATTCTGTGCAGTCAATAAATTTTGGAATAACACCCGTCTTCAAGCTATGTTGA